GACCCAATAAGAGATAAGAAAATTATATAAATGTCTAGGCTGTGAATTTTGGATTTTTAATAGTATTCTAAAAAACTCAAACTCACTGCCATCAAGCCAATACTGATTCATAATGACTCTATAGGACAGGGTAGAACTGCTGTTGTGGATTCTGAAACTGTAACTGTTTACAAGAATAGGAAGCTTCATCATTCTCCCTCAGAGTAGGCTAGTGTTTTTGAACTGCTGACCTTGTGGATTTCAGCCCAGTGTATAACCACTTCGCCATCAGGGCTCCCCAAAGGATGCTTAAAATAATGATTACATGTATTCCTGTATATCAGGTGATAACAAGTAAGATGCAATGATATACAAGGAAGCTTCAAACACAAAAATGGAATTAAAAATAATGGGATTTTCCCACAAACTTTTTGAGGCCCCCTTGCATACAGAATTAATTAAAAGAGCTGGCGATTACACATGGTATCTAACACATTTATTACTATTTTTAATTTTGGGATTTAGGAGAGTTAATTTGGAAAGTCTGAATTTCTAGGTAGAATAACACATCATCACCCTTCATGTTCTTGGTCTGCTTAAAGAATGCTGGGGGTCTGCTACATTTATTTACTCTCGAGAGCCAAGAAAGTCAATGGAGAAGAATAAAAGGAAAGCATAAATAGAGAATCAAAACCATCATGACTATTGGCAGGATCGTATATATTTTCTCAAATGAGAAGAAGAAGCAAGTCCACACTGGCCCTTCACTGTTCGTTAGTCCAATGGCTGAGGAGCAAGCTGACCACGCTGACAATCTAGTATCCACCCAGTTGCCAACAAGTCCATTCAGACTCACAGGATTCAGTCCAGTTTAACTTTCTTGTTCTCAGGCTGACGTACTCAAAAGTCGGCAGAAGCTTCCAAGTAACAATGAGAAGAGGCCAAGAACAGTGAGGATGGCAAACTAAAGGGATGTTCTGTTCGGCTTCCCGTTTATTTGATGAATTACACTAATAAGATTTTAACAAGTAAACTGAAAATTAAGCCTGGTTTGGGGGGCATTTGCAAACAGACCTACCGGTAGTTATTTAACCGATTATTTCAGTATTTTGCAGTTGTAATATGTAATT